AATAATGTAAAATGCATTTTAAAGAGACATGAAACATTTTTATTTTTTAATCTGTATGAATAGCTTTACCTGATACTGCATTTTGGTAGTCAGCTGAGCCAATTTGATCTTTTACCTTTTCTTATTTTTCATACTTTCAGGCTCCTGGAAATTAGCTGCCCATGATTGTTTGATAGCCCATGGTGATGGCCAGATATTTCACTGTTCTCCTTCTGGGTAAGTTGCATGGTAAATTGAACAGATTTCTGCAAATACTAGAGTATGGTGGTCATGTCTTTACTTTCCAGATGTCAGATAAAAAGCTTAAGGTGGGATCATAAAATGACTGATGACAACACAGACGATCCCATGTGATTATCAAAGTCTGACTCTCCAGTGAGGTGAGCGGGGATAAGCTTCTTAAACAAAGTGAAGTTCAAATGCACAGTCCCCCACCAGCCCCCCAGCCGGGAGGTCTTTCATAGTAGCTTCCACGAGAGCCCTTTTCAACACAAAACAATCTAGACTTAAGCAAACGTGACATGACCATCCTGTTACCCTGCTCTCTTCTTTAGCATCAGTGCCTGCCCTTTCTCTCTCTGAAGAGAAGTAATCAGAGGCATTGTGTTTGCTTGTCCCTGTGTCCTTTTGTGTTTTATAATGAAAGGTATATGCATTATGGAGAGGAAACTGAACACCTGTGACAAACTCTGCTAAACAAGGCAAGGAAAAGTTCTGTCGATGTTTGCAAAACACAGAGATCATAAGTCTCTGGAGCGACCACCCTAAACATGCACTGCTTTTCCATTGTTTTTTCAATGTAAGCATGCGCTAGGCAGTCTTGCATGACTTGCTGCTCTAAAAATGTGCCACTCAAGTTAAAAAGTTTAACTTTTAAATAAGCACGTCTCTAGGCTTTTGGGTTTTTTTCATTTCATTGCACTGCTACATGATAGAGAGTTGTGTTTGAATGTTGTACTCACGATTTTTGCAGCGTCTTGTGCATTACACACCATTTAACTGCTCAAGTTAAAAGAAGTTCAACTTTTTAAAAAATTGTCTCTAGACCTTGTCTCGCATCTTTTGCATTGCCTCCAATGACACAACGTTCTAAAACACACAATGCCAAGTTCTAAAAAGTTGCGTAAGTTAATAATTTAATGTGTCCCTAGATGTTACTTTTTCATTGTACTCCCCTGCGTCTCTTTTTAAATTGCTTTTTTATGTAAACACCTGCTAAGTGGATGTTTTTGCCTGTGCTCGCATCTTTTGCAGAGTCTTGCGTGGCACATTCTAAAAATATATTTGGTTTATTTCACTGCCCTGCTTCTCATTTTAAAGACAAAAACACATTCTGTATTGTTTTTCTATATAAATATGCACTAGAAAGACATGTTTGACTATTTTGCTTGCGTCTTGCATCTTTTGCAGCTGCTCACAAATGACACAGTGTTCTAAAAATGCGACCCGCAAGTTAAAAGTAGTTCAACTTTTAAAGGCATCTCTAGACCTTGGGTTTTAATTCCACTTCCCTTCATCTCACATTTTTAAACACAAAAACTTTTGTGTAAAAATGCTGAAAAAGCATTTATAAACCTTCTGCTATTCAATGCTAAATGTACTGAAATGATTCTGTGCTATAATTAACTATGCGCTATAATTAATAATTAGTTATTGCCATTAATTTGGTGTAAACACATTTACTTTTAGGTTAATACGAATCATATATAATTAGACACATGTAATTAGACTGATTATACATTCAGTGCTGTTTGCCTGCTGCACATTGATTGCACCGGTGGAAAGCAGGTAATAAATGTTTTATTAGTTAAATGAGGTGTTTGAATGCTTTTTCTTAATCATGGTAGCTCTAATTTGATGAGCTAACAGTTTTAACACATGCATCTGACGTGTAGACCTGGTGCTCCTGCAGAGGATGCACATTTAAAATCCAGTCAATTTCACTCTGTGCTATATGCATTGAATCAAATGAAAAAGCGAAAACTGAACAAGAGGTAGAGAAGTGGAGAATAAGAGGGGAGAGCAGGATTTCATTAGCGGGGTGCTTGGCTGAGAATGGAATGAGGGCAGTGCTGAGGATGGCCATTAGTTTTGACATGTGATGGAGAGGAAACTGAACACCTGTGACGAACTCTGCTAAACAAGGCAAGGAAAAGTTCTGTCGATGTTTGCAAAACACAGAGATCACAAGTCTCTGGAGCGACCACCCTAAACATGCACTGCTTTTCCATTGTTTTTTCAATGTAAGCATGCGCTAGGCAGTCTTGCATGACTTGCTGCTCTAAAAATGTGCCACTCAAGTTAAAAGAAGTTTAACTTTTAAATAAGCACGTCTCTAGGCTTTTGGGTTTTTTTCATTGCATTGCACTGCTACATGATAGAGAGTTGTGTTTGAATGTTGTACTCGCGATTTTTGCAGCGTCTTGTGCATTACACACCATTTAACTGCTCAAGTTAAAAGAAGTTCAACTTTTTAAAAAATTGTCTCTAGACCTTGTCTCGCATCTTTTGCATTGCCTCCAATGACACAACGTTCTAAAACACACAATGCCAAGTTCTAAAAAGTTGCGTAAGTTAATAATTTAATGTGTCCCTAGATGTTACTTTTTCATTGTACTCCCCTGCGTCTCTTTTTAAATTGCTTTTTTATGTAAACACCTGCTAAGTGGATGTTTTTGCCTGTGCTCGCATCTTTTGCAGAGTCTTGCGTGGCACATTCTAAAAATATATTTGGTTTATTTCACTGCCCTGCTTCTCATTTTAAAGACAAAAACACATTCTGTATTGTTTTTCTATATAAATATGCACTAGAAAGACATGTTTGACTATTTTGCTTGCGTCTTGCATCTTTTGCAGCTGCTCACAAATGACACAGTGTTCTAAAAATGCGACCCGCAAGTTAAAAGTAGTTCAACTTTTAAAGGCATCTCTAGACCTTGGGTTTTAATTCCACTTCCCTTCATCTCACATTTTTAAACACAAAAACTTTTGTGTAAAAATGCTGAAAAAGCATTTATAAACCTTCTGCTATTCAATGCTAAATGTACTGAAATGATTCTGTGCTATAATTAACTATGCGCTATAATTAATAATTAGTTATTGCCATTAATTTGGTGTAAACACATTTACTTTTAGGTTAATACGAATCATATATAATTAGACACATGTAATTAGACTGATTATACATTCAGTGCTGTTTGCCTGCTGCACATTGATTGCACCGGTGGAAAGCAGGTAATAAATGTTTTATTAGTTAAATGAGGTGTTTGAATGCTTTTTCTTAATCATGGTAGCTCTAATTTGATGAGCTAACAGTTTTAACACATGCATCTGACGTGTAGACCTGGTGCTCCTGCAGAGGATGCACATTTAAAATCCAGTCAATTTCACTCTGTGCTATATGCATTGAATCAAATGAAAAAGCGAAAACTGAACAAGAGGTAGAGAAGTGGAGAATAAGAGGGGAGAGCAGGATTTCATTAGCGGGGTGCTTGGCTGAGAATGGAATGAGGGCAGTGCTGAGGATGGCCATTAGTTTTGACATGTGAGGGAGAGGGGGATCAACACGCTCAGTTTGGCCCATTATTCTCATTGTAGCACAGCGCAATTATCAGTGCATTTATTTTTTATATGCTCAGTCATTTAGCTAGATAACTAAATGTATATTCACTGTTGAAAGTACTTCACTTAAAAGATTAAATGACTTGGATTGGAATGAATGGAAAATGGAAAAACACTGCACCATTGGCTCTGTTCCAAACCCCAGTGAGTTGCCTACCCGGATGGCATGTTTAGGCATCATACTGTAGGTCCGCTCCCAATGTAAGACTGTTCTGAACAGTAAAATGATGCAGCTGTAGTTGGAGCAATAGTCACGTGGGTAGCACTCCGGTATATGTTGTGGCTGTGCCTTAGGTGACCCAAAATTAAGTTTTAAGCTGCATCCAAAATTTCATTCTGTCTGAGTAGGTGCTGAACGATCAAACTTTGCGACTGTTACAATAGGGATTCTGTGTCCCAGGTGAAGCACTCTTAAATGTATAAAAAATGTACTTGAAATTCATATAGTGTATTTATAGAACAATTTTACTCCTAACATGTTTACTTGAAGTGCATTAAAAATGTATTAAATTGCATTTTAATATATATTTTTTTGTATTTTAGTATACTAGAAGTATGTTGGTAATAAATATATGCTTAGTTACGCTTTTAAGATATATGTTAACACAAGTATACTTTTTGTGAAATTTTAGTGTATTTACAGAAAACATACTTTTTCTTAAAGTATATTTTATGTTTACTTTGTATAAGAACATAATAAAATGATACAGCTTTAAATTATATGTATCTTATTTATAACCATTTTTGTAGACCTTCTGCAATATATTTTAAATATTTATGTAATGAACATGTGCTTCAGCCTACTTTTCAAAAGGAAGATATCTTGAAAAACATTTTACCATATTAATATATTCTATAAAGTATATTAATTCACTCACACAAATACATTATAGCTAGGTCTATAAAATATGCAAATGCGTTCTTACATTGAACTTACAATGTATTATAAATATAATTTTGTCAACTATGCCTTAGTAATAAGCATACTTAAAATCAATAAGTTGTTTGGTTTTATTTGCTTGTACTTGTAAAAGAATACTAGGCGTTTTGTGGAAGCTCAGGCGTGCTTGCGTAGCATGCATGACAAAATCTGATTGGTTCTCGAGCAGCAGGCAAGCACGTCTGAACTTCCGTTTACCAGTTCTGATGTGCGTCGATGGATGTGAATAAAAGTCTAAATTAAAACTGTTAAGTCATATAGAGCGATTGTGTCTCTTCAGAGGACTTGGAAGAAACCACTCGATTCATATGGATTACTTCTGCGATGTTTTTGTCTGCGATTAACTTTTTGAAAACGTGAACATTTTTGGTGACTTTCAGTGGAGGGACATACATCATTAAAATATCTCCGTTTTTTGTTTTGAAGATGAAGGAAAGTCTTAAAGGATTTGGAACAACATGAGGGTGAGTACTTGATTACAGAATTTGGAATTTCCTTTTTTTTTTTTGTAACTGTACATTGGTTGAACTGTTAAAGTAAATAGAACATTCATTGTTACATCTTAATTTTTCACAGTGTCTATGTGTGTAGATTTGGAGCCTCAGTGTTTTGTGACTCTTGGTATGTATTTCAATTCTGTTAGTTGTCTTTTTAGTAGTTACATTCAATTTGACAAATCAGAGCTTTTCAAATCGGCTTTGCAGGCAATGGTCCAATCACACAGCTGTGTGATGGTAACATGTTTTTAGCAGAAATCATCCCAGTTTCACTTTATTTCATTTTCTTGACTAGAAAACCAGGTCAGCTCATGCCTCCCGTGAACAACTTATTAGGTGCTTTAAAGGTTTGTCTGCCAAGTCGAAGCAGACATGGACAGATGAAGATATTGCCCGCCGAAACACTCCTCCTTGGTGGTAAGTTTTTACTAGCCATTTGTTTAAAGGGGTCATATGACGTTGCTAAAAAGAACATTATTTTGTGTATTTGGTGTAATACAATGTGTTTATGCGGTTTAAGGTTAAAAAACACATTATTTTCCACATAATGTACATTATTTTTTCTCCTCTATGCCCCGCCTTTCTGAAACGCGTCGATTTTTACAAAGCTCATCGGTCTGAAAAGCGAGGTGTGCTCTGATTGGCCAGCTATCCAGTGCGTTGTGATTGGCTGAATACCTCAAGCATATGACGGAAATGTTACGCCCTTACCATACTGTGATGACGTCTCCCGGCACGATGAGACAAAACCAATAAAACCCATTACAAACGAGGCAAACGTGGGGACATAATTACTGATTATAATGACTTATACTGTCTTTTTACGCATTGTGTTGCATATCGCGCTGCGTAAACATAAAACCATGTCTGCATTTGTGATCGGAGAAATGACAAACAACAAGCGCTACTCTACACTGCTCAAAACTCGCGTTTGAATCGTCAGTGGCAAATTCTTTAAATATGTAAACGTACTTACAAGCTGTGAGTCAGAAGCGCCAGACTGTCCTTGCAAAGTTGGAATTGCCCCACTTTATAGAAACAGACTTTGTGCACAGAAGCATTGTAGGCTACTGGTTCAGGAAACAGTCCTCGTCCTCCATAAAATGCACTGCACACATCTGAATATTTGGGTTGAACTGTTCTGGAACAGTGTTGTAAATACAACTTTACCACTGAGTTCTAGTTGTGTCCTCTTTTGGAAGGCCAAACAAAGTAGTTTCACTTTCACAACGAAACACACAGCGTCTCCACGACATGGCGGCGGTGGCAGAAACAATACTACAACGTGAATAAAAGTTACGCCTTCTCTCTTTGTGTGAACATTTGGGTGGCGTTATGCAAATCTTCCCAGATAGTGACGTAGACATGTAGGGGCGTGTTAAAACGAGCTGTTTTAGGTAGGCGTGGTTGACTCTTAACTTTTATAAAGAATATCTCTTTGGATTTGAGACTTTAGTCTTTGCAACTTTACATATCTTCTTTATGCACCAAGAGCTTGTAACACTCCAAAGGGAAAGGAAAAATTGACCCCTTTAACTAACTTTAAGCTCACTTCTGAGTTTTTCCTAGGTGGATAGTGCTAGTGTGCATTTGCTGAAGTTAGTTAACACATGGAATGCTAACGTTAACCGCTGTAACATACTAACACTTACTAGCTAGTTATCTAGCAATATGCTATATGGTTGCTTAAAAGTCTACGTAGTGGCATTTGTCTGTCTTATAACAACTATAAAATAATTGTCCAGTGTATTGGCAGAAAGAACCATGTGCCATTACAGCATGTACACCATTAATATAAATAGGAATGCTTTTAAGAGAGAAGACATCTGAAACGGCTAATGCTGAGAAGCTTTTGATTACAATGTACCTGGTGGGTAATATACTCTCATTGTTAAAAAGAAAACAAATCACTAATCATCATTTGCCTGCCTTTTTTTATTTGTTGTTTTCAGAACAGCTGCTGTTGCAATAGAAGACAAATTGAAATCAGATCAGAAAGACGAGCAAAGAAGAGAATGGTAAGTATGTTTTAATCATATCAATGAATCTCACGTTTAATTCTGGCTGACATATTTCCTAATAAAGTGGCTGTTGGGACTCTGAGTGTCATGCTAACTTTGGATTCAGCACTTCTGGTGTAGAGATGTTAGGCCTCTTCTAACCTTATGTTCAATGTAACACAGAATATTGGATGGTGACGACATAAAAACAGATGCTCATGTCAAGCTTGATGAGGATTTAGTCCAAGCTTTGAAAGGTAAACTGAGAACGGTCAAAGAAATTCTAATGCATATCTATGCAAATTATAATACATATAATGTTTTGAAACACCATTAAAAACCACTGAATAATCATTTTTCCTTTCACAGACCCTGTGATGAAGAAATTTTCAAATACCACAGTGTCTGAATTGCAAGCCCTCAGATGCAGGAAATGCAACAAGTCATACTCAAAGAAAAGTGATCCTCCACTTGAAGATGAAGATGGTGACAATTGAAATGTTTGGTTTCTTTGTTTGGTTTAGCCATTTGCAGGTTTAACTTGAGTTTGAGAAACAAACAAAGAAAATGCACTTTATTCACTTCTGTGCTTTGTTGTTTTTCTGTAACTTCTTTGTGTGTGCAGAAAATTGCATTGTGATTCATTTTTATTCAGTGATGGAATATTCATAGTGTACTTTCCAGTAATATAGGTATGACAGAAATGTTCTACAAATTGAATGAAGTAGTTGTGTTATAGCATTTCGCTGATATTTATTTTCATTTATTATCAATCAATCAATCAAACTTTATTTATAAAGCACTTTAAAAACACAGAAGTGGACCAAAGTGCTGTACAGAAAAATAAAACCCATACAACACATAAAATACAACTAAAGCACATTAAGACAGCATAGAAAGCTAAAATAAATAGAACGAGTGGGCATGTAAGGGTGTAGCAGCTCAGAAATGTAGGGTGGGGCAAGACCATTTAGGGATTTAAAAATAAATAGAAGAATTTTAAATTGAATCATAAAATGTATGGGCAGCCAGTGAAGTGAAGCTAAAATGGAGGAAATGTGCTCATATTTACATGTTTCAGTTAAAAGATGTGCTGCAGCATTCTGCACCAGCTGCAAACGAGCAACAGAAGACCCACTAACCCCCACGTACTGTGCATTACAGTAATCCAGCCGAGTGGTAACAAAGGCATGGATTACCACCTCAAAGTGTTGCCTCGTAAGATGTGGCTTTATTTTGGCCAGCTGCCTCAATTGGAAAAAACTCAATTTAACTACTGCCCTGATCTGACTGTCAAGCTTAAGATCCTAGTCAATTTTCACCCCTAAGTTAGTAACGGTTGGCTTGATGTACTGAGCCAAGGCACCCAAATCAACTAGAGGAGTCCCAGTGGTCCCACCAAAAAACATCACTTCTGTCTTGTTTTCATTGAAACTTAAAAACTGAAGAGCCATCCATGCCTTTATATCGTCAAGACAATCAAGCAGCGGTCTGACAGTGTCATTCTTTCTAAGTGGCACATAAATCTGGCTATCGTCTGCATAACAATGAAATAACAATCCATGCTTCCTGATTATTGAACGAAGGGGGAGCAAATAAAGAGAGAAAAGGAGAGGGCCTAAAAATGAGCCCTGTGGTACCCCGCAAGAGAGAGGAGCCGAGGAGGACACAGAGCCGGCCTTCTAAATAGGACCTGAGCCATTCAAGCGCTATGCCCTTGATGCCCACATACTGTTCCAAATGAGAAATTAAGATTTCATGGTCCACAGTGTCAAATGCAGCAGTTAAATCAAGAAGCACAAGAATAACACAATCACCAGTGTCAGTCGCTAAAAGCATATCATTAAAAACTTTTAGAAGTGCAGATTCTGTGCTGTGTAAAAGCACTGAGTTTTAAATCCGGACTGTAAAACTTCAAGAATATTGTGATCTTTCAGATAGGCCATTATTTGCCTACAGACTATCTTTTCGATATAATTATTATAATTATTTTGGTCAATTGTTTATATATGCTGCTGTACTTTATAAATGTACTCATGGAATGTATTGTTGTAATGAACACAATATATATTACATTAAAATGTTCTAGATTTGAAAGTGTGTGTAGATGTGTCATTTTAATTTAACGATTTAATATACAATTTTAGAATTCTGAAAAATAGCTTTATAACAAACTAATAGTGTGATGCATTTCTAATGAGCTGAAATGCTATTGAAAATGTTCTTGAACATTTCTCATTGCCCTCTCTCATTGTTTCATGTCTCTCCTCTTACTGTCCATTATTCATGAATTGTAAGCATCAGCCAAGTCTCTCTCATATTCTTTTCACCTGAAATGTGAATATGTGTGATATGAAGATATTATCTGCATTTTTTACCTTTTGAGAAAGCTTTGTTTAAAGGTGTAGCCAGAATTTAGAGCACAAGAGGAATTTTTTGGGAATGGTAGTCTCAGGTGTGTGATTTCCATACATGGTTTTTAAAAATACATTTTAAGTAGTGGCTGGGGAGTGGGATTCAATGAAGGGGTGTTAAACAAGTCTCCAGTAGATTCTTATGAAGGCTTACCTGCGGAGTCTACTTCACTCGCTCGTTTCCATTGACATTTATTTTAGATCAGTCAATCCCATCAGTGTTTAATAAGAGGCCTAATATCATCATAAAATCACAAAAACTACCAATCGCGGGGGGGTTTAATCTATAATCTCAAATTTTTTTCAGAAAAATTATCACCTCAACGTGTGTGACAATTTATAGCATGGTAAAATAAACATGAAAACATGACTTCATTCAAAAACTGGAAAAAAGTGGATGGCATGTCGCAGGTCAATATAAAAATCTGAATGAGAGGAAGTTTGTTTATTTATTTGCTTCCTGCATTCCATTTACGCCCAAGGTACACTAAAACTTTATAACGGCAGATGGACACCTGAATAAGTTTGTCCACGCCTTCCCAGGAATTCAAGTGCTAATCATCAGAGATAGCACGGACTTGTGGTTTACAGTATTTTTCTGGCACAAGAATAAGTTCATTATCTGAAGCTGTGGGCTCTGTGCCCATTGTACTCTTCTTGACTCGATGTAGGTCAGTGAGACTGTGTGTTAATGATTGTACAAGGAATATGATCAAGGTGTGTGAGCATGTGCTATTGTAATGGAATGTCTCTATGTGTCTTACAGCATGTGTACTTTGTGAACTCTGGCCTATTTTGGAAAAAACTGCATGTAGACAAAATCTATAGGTCTGCCAGTGCCAGCTTTAGGGTGCATGCACTCCTTCATAAGCCCTTTATTGTACTATTATCAGTTTGACCTGGATATGGAGGAATTGTAGTTGTGATCTGCCTAATATTCAATTGTGATTGTTTGACTTTAAACAACAATAGCTGCCTTGATTCGTCTGTACCTGTAGGTTCACTATCTGATTTTTTTTCTTCACATTCCAGTTCTGGGTTTGACAGTGCATTGTCTATGGTAGCCCACCTTTTATTCCTGAATTACAGTGCATAAGTCCACTTATTAATTTCCACTTCATAACATTATAATATACAGTATGAAAACTGGATATTCATATTGAGCACATATAAATATCCAATACTTACCAATAACTGTAAGTTATAAAATCACTAATGGGGTCAGAAAAATGAAATGGCACTGAAATGTCATGCATCCCTAGTCGTCATAAGCATAATCATATTGTTTGGAGACTCATTAGTCTCTTCTGCTGTGGTCTCAGCTTCCTTGTTACATGTAGTGCAACACATGTGGTGGCTTGTCATCAAATGTTTGTGGAATGTCATTCCTTAGTTACAGATGGGCATTTTGTAAGACCCGTGTGATATACTTTTACACCTGGAATTTCTCTCTTAATGAATGACATTTTCCTGGCTTGGCATTCCTGTACTGTTGTCACTTTGCAGATGCTCATCTGCCTCTGGAACTGGAGACGTTGTTGTGTCTTCAGCCAGATGTTTGTCTTGTATCCGTGTGTGTTGTAAAGTAAGAGAGTTGCGGTAGCTTATGTAGTTTATGGGTGTTAGAGAATGCCGGGGCAAACCGCCATATTCCTGCCTCGACATAAAATATGCTTGTTTGTGATCTTGTTTATAATAATTGACATTCTGGAATGTATTTGTTTATTTATTTACTTATTATAACTATAAATAATATATTAAGATATTTTTGATGAAATCCGAGAGCATCATGACCCTGTATAGACAGCAATGTAACTACCACATTCAAGGCCCAGAAAGGTGGTAAGGACATCGTTAAAATAGGACATCTGTGGTTCAACCTTAATGTTATGAAGCTACGAGAATACTTTTTGTGTGCAAAGAAAACAAAAATTAAGACTTTATTCAACAATTTCTTCTCTTCCGTGTCAGTTGACACATGTTCATGAGAGTACCACGATGCATATGTGTAGTGCTGCTGACGCAGGAGCCAGCGTTCTGTTGTAGAACACGCATGTGCTGTGCCTTGTTTGCAAGCAGAGGTTATTTTTGTTTTCTTTGCGCACAAAAACTATTCTCGTAGCTTCATAAAATTACGGTTGAACCACAGATGTCACATGGACTATTTTAACAATGTCCTTATCCCTTTCTGGGCCTTGAAGGTTTCAGTTGCTTTACTGGCATGGTCAAAAAGCTCTCGGATTTCCTCAAAAATATCTTAATTTGTGTTCCGAAGATGAACGAAGGTCATACGTGTTTGAAACGACATGAGGGTGCGTAATTAATGACCAAATTTTCATTTTTTGTGTGTGAATTAAACCATTAGAGGGAGTAATCCACTTCTTACTGATGTTCATCCATTTTTCTATAGGTGTTGCCTATTTATCTCTCTTTCCCTCTATCTTTTCCACGTTTGTTTTGACACTTTGAAGGAGAAAAAGAATGTGTGGAGGCTCAATGACAGACTATGGCAAAACACAGTCAAAACCTATTCTTGCCTACAACTCAAACCCCAAACACACTTATGGTCATGTTTTCGCCCTTGCTTGTCAGAACATGAGAAGTCATGAAGAAAAAGTGTTAAATGCATCCTTTGCCTCAGGGAATCTGTGATGGAGGATGTATCGGTGTAAGGTCTCATAAGGCAGAAAACTCTTTTTGGAGAAATTGTGTTTTCTGGTGTGCGTGGCCTGTAAAGACTAAATCACACTCTGTGTTTATGAAAGTTACTCAGACGCCCGTCCCATAATTAGCAACCTGAACTCTCAACAGATTGGCTTTGAAATACCCCCATCTACTGTACTTGGAAAACTAGCAAGATTGTGAACGGAAGGTATTTGAAAAGTTTTTTTATGGGAATCCCAAGCTCACACACTCACAAATATAATAAATTGTACACAAACACATACGTAGAGGTCAACATTCCCTTGAGAGATGTAATTGTAAACTCCACTGGGTATGCAATCAGAGCTTATGCTAGACCTGTAGAGAAATGTATTTTAAAAAAGTGTAGTGTTATTTATTGTATACTATGTTTTTGTTTTTTGTTTTTTGTTTTTTTTACGTTTTATAACTTTTTTTATTATTAAAATTGTATAAACCTATAAGCACTGATTGAGTCCTGGTTTCAGATGGCCTTTTGGATGTTTAGCGTACAGGTGTGTTTACCCAGGGAGAGTCGGATGTGTGCGGACACACATTCCAAAGATCAGGACCTTTATTCCTTCATTATGTGTAATATTACAGTATGTGAGTTAAGCAGAAAGCCTTTCAATGCCCTCACACACTGTCTAGCACCTTGACGCAATCAAATGGAATTTATGGTGCTTGT